AGCATTTAAAGAAACCGGAAGTGCGCCCGATATATATTGGAAGTTACCCTATCAGCGCGTGCGCAATTTACACTACCAGCGCACTTCGGTAAGATCAAATAAAACCACACGGAGTTAGTTTTTCTCCTTCTATTGTTCTTGTTTTTCTGTCTTTTTCTTGTTTTGTTTCTGCTTGTACATTTTTTACTTTGCATTTTGTGAAACACAAAGAAAAACATCTAAAATGTAAGCAAATTTTGGAAGTTACTGAGTTGTTTTTATTTTCCGCGCTCAGGCTGACGTAAGTAACCGGAAGTGAAATTTCACCTCCTTAGCAACGCGCGCGAGCGCGCGCATAAATCGGTTAATGGGCCCTTAAGAGCCTTCCCCAACTTTGTTTCCAGGGTTTGTCTTCTTCCACCCCTAATGGCGAGTGACCCTGGGAAACAAGGTTGAGCCTTCCCTTGAGCGGCATCCAAAACAGAACGAGCACCAACGTCTGTGCCGTTTTTTGACGTAATCTCGTCTCGTTCCTACAAGTTGCGCTATTTTCGTTGTGCTTTTTATCTCATTCAGGAGCCACCGTGGATGGCGTGACGTGGATTCGCTCTACAGCTGGGCCTTCAAGCACCTTCCCTCATTGGTAACGCAACTCAATTACCAGGCATTCCTTGATAACGTTCTTGACAGCGAGGATGCCTGGATCATCGATTTTTATGCTCCTTGGTGCGGGCACTGCATACAGTTTGCCCCAGACTTTGAAAAAGCAGCCAAGGTTAGTAAGGAAACGATTTGGTTTCGTGGTAAATTCCTTGAGATTTTTCCTGCGTAAAACACCGGCTCCGTTACGAAGGAGGTTGAACTGCAATCAATATTTCCCGCAGATCGAAAGAGACAGTCACTTTAATTCTTAACTGTTGAGTTCAATTCTTAACTGTTTAATTCTTACCTGTTGAGTTGATGTTTCCATTTGTTGTAGCTGTTAGATGGACGTGTCAAGGCTGGTAAGGTTGACTGTGAACAGGAGTATCATCTGTGTTCGGAGGCTGATGTGCGAGCTTATCCCACTGTGAAGTTATACCTAGGTGCACCAGGAGATGGAATGACTCAGGTGAGTACTACAGTGGCTATCAATTCTCCTTACTACTTATGGTAAATTTCTTGTCATTTCGGTTATGAGAATGTGGTGCCGTTCTCTGATTGGCTACGCTACTCACAATCTATTCTGTTGTAGTTAGTGTGTGCTTGTTAACAAAATGACGGCCGCTTCTTTGCGTTTTCGAAGTGTCTGCGAAGAGCGTTAACGGTTTAGATAAAGTTTTGAACAACTAATAGATTTATACTAAAGCAATTAAATTATTCGCTCTCAATTTCTGTGCGTGATAGTGGACTCGGGCTGCGCCCTCGTCAACTATCACGCGATAGAAATCTCGAGCTCATAATCCAATTGTTGAATATTCACTACTGTCCTAGTGAATTGGAAAAGCCAAAGTTTCGCGCGTGAGCGCTTTGTCGCAGCAATAACTCTAAAACTGTAGTTAAACGCTGGCGCTGATAATCCGTTCATAGACTCCTCCAATTACCTATGAATTGACAAATATAACTGTAATGTGTTTTTTTGGCTTTTTTGTCATAGCCGGTAAATGGTCACTTGAATATTGAAACTCAGAACCCGCACAAAATCCGGCATATTGCTCTGCAATCACTGGAAGAATACAAAGCTGATTTAGAGGAGGGGGACAGACAGGAAAGGAAGAAGGCGAAGACGAAATCGAAAAAGGTGAGACATGCTTTCATTGCTAGCCTGAGTAGCAAGTGTTCCCGCACGAAGAGCTTTTTCCACATTCTGGCCGCGCGCAAATTAGAACGAGAGCGAAAAGAATCGACGAAGCAGGGGGTGGTCGGGCGAGCGCTTCAGTTAAGTTCCAAAGGATTCTTCAGTTCATTTTGTATTTACAGGTACTGTCTTCTCTTGTCCCTTTCTGACTGTTGGGTCTTGGTGTGAAGTTCTATACGGCGTAACGACTCCGTGAAAGCGGCGGCCCTCAAAGTAGCGTCAGAGTTTCGCGGTTGTTTACAGGGAGCATGCAGTCTAGTTGAGTAGGATGAGAGTAAATAAACAAAATGAAAAGAATTAACAGTTTACCTTTGTCTCCTGTTGTCATCTCTTATGGGAACTTACAGGGAAAACCCACGAACATCGGCTCGTGGGCCACTTTTTTTTGTTGTTAAAACCTTTTGACGGCATCTATGATCTATTACTGAACAGACGCACGGCAACATGGAAGGCCTAAGTACAAGTCTAGCGCCTCTGCTTTGCTGAACATGTGGGTAGTGATTTTCCTTGTATGTTCGCGTAAGAGATGACAACAGTAGACAAAAATACACTGTTCATTTTTTTCATTCCTTTATTCACTCTCATTTTACTCAGCTAGATTTGTATGCTCCTGGTGGATTGGTAAGAAAACCCAAAAGTAACGATCTTCAATAGGAGCGGTCCTCGATCTCTTAGATTATGTCCATAAAAAATAAGGTCAACGAATGTTTTAAAACTCACCTTCTCTTCCTGTCGACGAACAGCCCGCGACGAGTTGACGGTATTGCGTGACCACGTGACAGCTAGTGCGCTCAGTATTTGGTAACGCGTAAGTCGTCGTCGGATCTTAAAGCCCTGGACAAACGGAAGTAGACGCAAGTTGAAAACTTGGGTCTACTTGCGACTCCGTTTGGCCGGGCCTTGCGTGCACTTGCGTTGACCTGCGATGACTTGCGCTCACTTTGGTGGCGATCAAATTTGTACGTAAGTCGACGCAAGTTTTTCACCGTTTGGCCACCCAACCCAAATCAACGCGAGTTGAGTAACGTCCATTAACCTATTATTAGCCAATGAAATACAGGATATGTCTGCCTTGAAATATATATATTTTTTTGCGTATAGCGTGTACTAACGGAAAGGCCCATTCCATTTGATTTCCCACCAGAAAAACTGGTTTTTCCGTACAACGGGAAAGTGCTCCTAGTCTGTTCTAGGCTCTTGGATCATTGTGGGAAGCGAGGACCTGGAATACTACATTACTTGAAAAAGATTTCGAGCAAAAATGTGTCCAAAAATAAAACGTCCGAAATTTTCAAGCGTTCGAAATATTTACAGCACAGTATAAAACTTTAAATAGCGCGAAAGTTCTTACTTTCCTTTATGGATGGAACTCTAGTTGAGGAACGCCTTCAGATACGTAATAAGGCTTGATAGAATTTGTTATTTTCTCGTCGCTATATCTGTAAAACCTTAAGGGTGCAGTAAGACTCTCATTTTCATCGGTGTTGTTTCAGTCTAGTTCCTGTTTTGTAGACGTAAATTTGCAGCAAAATTTGCGAACGGTTTGTCTGGAATTTGTCCGAAATGAGAAAAAAAGGTGTCCGAAATTAAACTTGCGATATAAACGTCCGAAAGTTTCTGCAAGTAATGTACTTGTTTAGTTTGAACGTGTGAAGTAACTTGTTTTTCTCTTCTCCTTTCACGCAGAAGAGCAAGAAAAAGAAGACTACACCAGTCCATGATGAATTCTAGAGGACGTTAAATCCACCTGTCTGTATTCATACGAGTCTCACTCAACACTCAGACAAGACGTAATAACGGCCATTGTTGGAAAAAAGAAAATAATGGCCAAATATTCACCAACAAAGCCATTACTCAGGGCGAGTTTTAGTGCAAGGCGTTTGCTGCATTGCCTTCAGTGCTTTTACCTACAGTAGTTGGTATTTTACAGAGACAGTAAAATAATTTTTATTGGTTTTTGTGTCTGTTTTTCCTATCTGCATTGGAACCCTCAAGGAGACATCCCCCTACCCCCTCTCGTGCTTTTTGTCCTGTGCTTCCATATTCAATGGAAATGTTCATTATGTAAATTATGTGTTGCTTTAGTCCATACCTGGTCTTCTCTGTTACACAATGCTACTCTGCGTGACATACGGGGCGGGGGGGGAGGAGGCACAACTAGGTTAATACAGATTTGGATAGGTTATTGTAATAAAGCCTCCACGAGTTCGTTTACTTAGTAGCAGTCAGGAAAGCGGTAAGAGATAAAATAGGGAAGTGGCTTAGTGTGAGAAGGAAAAAGCGTTCTCTCCCAGTTTTTTTCCGCTGCTCCACAACCGCTCCCCTGGTCTGAACAGGCTTTCTATCTCGAGCTGTGTTTCCCGCGAACACTGTTCACATCAGGTGGTGCATGGCGCGAATCAGCAATGTTTTTCTGATCATGACTAACACTACCCCGCGTGGTAGTTACGATCTCCTTAATCAAACGAAACACGTTAAAGATGGCGGCCTACTAAAACCAGCTGAATGAACTCTGGGTCTTCATCATTCGTTATCTAACTGACCGCCTGAAAGAGGCTACGAAATAGCTAGCATAGCAATTTTAGTCAAATATCGAACTTGGTTCTCCATCAGCGATCACAGCACAGGTGTCCCAAACTCACGATTCGAGAAATTGATCGAATATTAATGACTTGTGCAATGAATCAATCAATCAATGAATTAATCAATCAGAAACTTTATTTTACTTCGAATTTCTTGATAGCAAAAACATGCTAATATCTCGGAACAAAAAAAACTCAACGTTAAAAACTAAGAAATACACATAATAGATAAATTCTTCAAAATTGGTTAACAGCCTATCGAGTGGCACGTGACTACCTAAAGTGTTCGTTACCTTCTTTTGAATTTAAAAAGAAATGTGCTCACCTTGCTTGGTTTCTGTTGTCCATTGGGCCTATTTAAACGTTTTTTTTTNGGGGGAGGGGGTTGAGGTGTTTGTCGCAGCTTTCTATGACGATGAAATACAACAGGCTAGATTATACAACAACCGGCCAATCAGTTACATCTCATGCATTGAATTTGAATGGTTTCTTTTGTTGCTATATGCTTCGTTCTTAGAAACGTAGTATATTGTAAGACAACGTTTATAGTTAGCGGGAGATTTCCTCACCCAATGAGAGCCATTTAAAGCAGCATAAAACAATTGCTTTATTAAGAGACCAATCACACGAGACTACTCTGCAGTTCAGCGAGATTTGTGTACTACATTCCGCCGGCAACACCGGTTACATAGCTCCAGGTTTGGGTCGTTCGGCGATTCTGTGGAAGTAAAGGTAAGTTTATCGAGCATTACTCGTGCTACAATTAAAACTATTATATTGTTTGTGCGTATACAAGAAAGCGTCGACGATGACACATTTTCGCGTGGCGGCGAAGAATTACTTTCAAGAATGTTACATATTAGCTGATGTTAGCTTTCACCCTGCGAGCAGAGCCTCTTTTATCGCTTTTTTGAGCGGATAGGAGACCGGGGTTTTGACGTCTTTCTGTCCTCGACGATTTGATTAATGGTCGTTCGTTTCAAAGCTTGAAGTTTTATTTGATATAATTTGGTCGATCGATGTTCAGGGGTTGAAGTTCTGTATACTGAATTAAAATTAGCCAAGCGATAGCCAGAAATACGTCTACGCCAGCTAGAAAATAATTCTAACCGTAAAGAAGGGCTACACGACATTTGCGGATAAGGAAAAAAAAGAAGTAAGGATTGCAATTAGAGTCAAAGGTATTATTTTATGTTTTGTTTCAGTGAATTGCATGCGCGTAATCTACGTTTATTCTAATATTAATTATTTACTTGAAAATGTTGGCAGTATGTTCTCATTTGCACATTTTTGGCACGAGTTTCGATCCAGGCCATGTTTCACGGTTGAGTTGCGAGCGTTTCTTTTTTATTCAGTTTGGTTTCGATCCATAGAGTCGCTAACCGTGACGGTATTTGAAGAAAGACACTTTGTAGTCAGTCTGACCCGACGTGAAGGTTACAGTTTCGATCGGCCATTGTTTCCGTTGATGTCATGTGTGCGTGCTACCTGCCGACCCTCTTCCTTCTTTTACAAGATGCATTGTTCTAAAACAGACATGACCAAGCTCATGTAGACAAATTATGCGTCGCTGATATTGAAACGGTCATCTAAATGCGACTGAATTAAAATGAAATCACAACGAAACACCGTTCAGGTATGGCAAGCCGTTTGTAGCAAAATTAAATCCTTGCAATATATGTTTAATCCTTTAAATAACGGTTTTATTTAAACATAGAAAAAGGCATTCAATCCAATGGTAAATAAAATTTTTGGTTCAATTCAATCTTTTAATTTTCACGATTCAATCCAATACCTGGAATATTGACTCAATCCAATACCTGGAATATTGATTCAATCCAATACCTAAAATATTGATTCAATCCAATACCTGGAATATTGATTCAATCCAATACCTGGAATAT